TCGGTGGATTGCTTCCGTAATTCCGCTTGCATATATAATCACATCATAATTATACCTTTATTTCGAGTGCTTTGTTAAACCACGCTCACATTTCAATAGATCTTTTCATTATTATTCAAGCCAACATGTCATGTGGTCTGGTAAGGGCTCTTGTACAGCCCGACACACGTGTTTCGTCCTTACGAACTCGTCAGCCGGGCAAAACCCGCCGTCTTTCGATCTTTTCATAGTCAGTTCAGGTGAAGGATTCACTTGACATGGAGTGTAAAACGTTCGTCTTTGATGACTCTCTATAAGGAGTGTAAGGCTCCCGAGAGAACTGACTATGAAAAGATCGAAAGACGACGGGTTCTGCCCGGCTGACGAGTTCGTAAGGACGGAACTCGTGTATTGGGCTGTACAAGAGCCCTTACCAGACCAGATGACAAGTTGGCTCAAATCATAATGTAAGGAGTAAAGATCTATTGAAATTTGAGCGTGGTCTAAACGAAGCACTCGAAATAAAGGTATAATTATGATAAAAATACTAGCCAAAGAGCAATCAAGTGCGCAACACTCTGTGTTAGGTGAAAATTTCACTTGACATAAAGTGTAAAACGTTTGTCTTCGATGACTCTCTATAAGGAGTGTAAGGCTTCCGAGAGAGCAGACTATAAAAAGATCGAAAGACGACGGGTTTTGCCCGGCTGACGAGTCTGTAAGGACGAAACACGTGTATCGGGCTGTACAAGAGCCCTTATCAGACCACATGACATGTTGGCTCAAATAATAATGAAATAATCACATCAGTAAAATACTTATCATATACATTACCCGCTGTTGGCTTCATCTTGCCGTACTGTTTTTATCTTAGTAGTAAATCACATATAATTTTGATGAGATTCAATGATAAATTCATAATATTTCTCACTATTATAACTCTTCTATTATGCATTTTTCGTTATGAATGTGAGCTCTCAGATGACTCTCCAAGCTGTACGCACCTCCAGAGGAGACTGCACTGTCCGCCGCGTTGAATCACGTCGATGGTCTGCCATGTTCTCAGCCATGTTTTCGCTTTACCAATATTCAAACTATTCACCCGCCTACAGGAACAATTTTACATCAAGCACGAGCACTGAACTCTTTCTGACATTGTCATCTGGTGATGAAGCTCTCTATTTCATCGCTCCATTTGCGTAGAGGCTCTATGATAATTTTCCGGTTAACGATGCACTAAGCTCTGAACGTACAGTGTTTTCGACTAGTAACATTTAACATACCTGTTTATCCTAAATACACACGATTTTCGGTGTATGTTTCAGTCTATTCTTTGCAGTCTTTTGACTTCATTAGCAATTGTAATCACAACAAAATTCCCAGTGACGCTGGGTGACACGCAAAACTGTGAATCTCAGGCAAAAGATGAACTCAAATTTTCCCCATATCAGAGTTGCTTGCTTATATTCGATTCTTTATAGTGCAAAAGGAATGATAGAAGAGCAATGGTCTCGGTGGTGTAGAGTAGCAGAGCCCCACTAAGGGTGGATCACGAGATCGACTTCCGCGAGAGGTTTACCTTTCTGTATATCACTTAGCATCGTTGGATATATAGTCAGAGCTGCGAAGTATGTTATCATCGGTTGAATTAGAATTTCTACGCTGCTGCTGAAGCTGCAACATAAAAAAATTCTCATATTCTTCATCAAATACAGTTGTCTTATACATGTATATACAAGAAAGCTTTTATGAACATCTCTGTTTGTATACAAAGTCTTGAATTCGGCCAGTACGGGGAAGCTATTAGAATCTCGAGGCTATTCTAAACTGCTAGAGCCTTAACACAATTGAAAAGATTACAAAATTCCACTATTTACTGCCTAAAATTCATTTAAACGGCAAATTGCTGCGTAAAGTATGATCGAGGACATGCTACCATTCAAATAAAGGTTATTTAGCGATAAATAAAGTTATCTGTTGCAATTCAAACCATGACTTCAGCTCATTTTGAGCTTATGTCGATTTGTGCACCTTTGATCAGCTTGCTAATGGGTCATTGCTGACGATCGCGGCCACTGAATAGGTTAGAAACACGGCTGAAAGAAAAGCAGAGCGAGGCTCTTGATTAAAGGAGCAGATTACAAATATACGTTCTATTGGCATTTCAGCCACTTTGTGATTCGAACCAATCTGTACTTGCTAAGTTCGTTCACTCGCATTTAGGCTCTTCAATGAAGACCAGATGATGTGAGCCATAGTATAAGATGCGGTGCCTTTGGACTGGCTTAGACGAGAAAACTTTGTCCATTTAGCACCGATTATTATACCGAGAAAATTTTTTTCTCCAGAAAATGCGATTATAGACGAGTCTGCGGCGCTGGTGCTCTGCTCAACAGGAGTCTGGCCATGGAACTTTTATTCAAACATTGTTTATTTTTATTCAAACATTGGATTGTCGTTTACGCAGCGATATGAAACCATGACGACGACAAAGTAGGAGCGTTCTGTGTTGGCCTACAAAAACACTACGGAAAAACGGCTCAACTTTGAAGGTCGTCAATAAGCTTTGAGACAACTAATTGACCCAGAAGAAGGTCGCGAAAACACCACATTGGAATCCATAGATTAGAATGAAACGAACAATGTGAGCTGTTGTCTGAGCTTGTCATGGCTACTAAGCGCATTCATGGTAACTCGCAAACCCAGAAGCTCCACTCTCAGCGTTGAAAGCTAGCCTTTTTATATGAAGTCAGAGCATGAAGATATATATATATATATACATATACATATATATATATGTGCGTAAGACTTTGCTTCCCGGCGAATGCTCATGAATACCAATTCATCATGCATCGTAAGAGGTGTTTGAATGCAAATCTGATTGTAGAAGTGACTTGGTGACCTGCCAATATATCAAATCAATAATCTGTGCAAAACCTGGTACATCAGCCGAGAGTCGAACTCGCGTTTCATCCACACCAGGACCCTTGCTCTGCATCACTCTGAGATACAGGGCACTGATGCTGTCAATAATCGACCGCTCGTGCCTATCTTGCAAACTATCCTTTTTTGACGCTTTAGCAACACTGGTAATCTTCTTCAAAAGCGATGGCTGGTTTCGTCGGTGCCTTACTCAGAGTCTAGGCCTACTCTACCAAACCATACATCATTGTTCAGTCAATATGTCCTCAATCTAGTTAGAATGTAATCAAGAATTTGATTAAATTAGAAATAGATGTACAGTAGGTCTAGAATCTGAAGAAGGCGTGTTTGCAGAAACATCAATCATTGCTTCTGAAGGAGATATACCAACTTTGCATTAGCTTTGAAGTACAGCTCGCTTGATATGCATGTTTACTAGGATTCAACCTATTGTGATGATTAGGTATGCCTACTGGCAGATCGTCAAGTTTACTGAAGTATCGAAACTTTCGGAGACATCCCATCTTTAAGTTCACTAATAGAACTGGTTAGATTATAACCATTTAAATGGAAGCTTTTTTAAGTTCCATCCTTTTTTTTATTTTTGCTGGACACAATTCAAACACAAGTATACCAGTCCGCCCGAGTTCAGCTGTCTTCATAACAGCATGTGCAGAGAGGATTGAATTTAATTCCGCATTCAACAGTGGTTGGGATTCCAAGTCTAGGGCAATTAACTCATTTGCGATCTGTAACATCATCCCACATGGCAAGCTAAAGAGTTGACTGTGGCTCATACTTAGGCCGTTATCTTCCTCCTAGAGAAATGCCTCCAGGTAAGTCACTGTTTCTGAGAACCACATTTCATTTAGCCTCGATATGTAATCGCCCTCATAACACCAAGCACTAGCCAAGCAGAACGAATGTTGACTGATTTCGATAACGCCCGTGGAAAGATTGACCTTCAACTAAATGTAAGGAAAAAGGTGTTTATGAGGAGCGGATGGGTTTTGAATGCCTCATTCACGCTTAACGGAACGAAAGTCTCCGAATGCTTCAGTTACGTCTATCTAGGTCGTAAAATAAACATGATGAATGACTTAGCTCCAGAGTTGAGCAGGAGGAAACGAGCGGCTTGGGGAACGCTTAAGAGCATCGAAGATGTAGTGAAGAGGACAAAGAACATCCGACTCTGTGCCCACCTTTTCGACTCGACGATTACCCCTGCCCTAAGTATGCATCAGAAACCTGGTCGCTACATGAGCGGGATGAAAGATCATTTGGCGTTATTGAACGCGCATTCAAAAGTTCGATGCTAGGAGTATCCCGTATCTTGCAAATGAAAGAAACGATCCGAAGTTCCGACCTACGTCAACGATCGGAAATCAACGAGGCCGTTCTACAAGTCAGGATATCGAAATCAAGGTGGGTCGAACACGTGATGCGCTTCAACGACAGCTGATGGACGAGAGCCGTTAGCGACGGATTTCTCGGGATATGAAGCGCTCTACAGGAAGACCACCGACACAATGGTCCGACTTCTTCACGAAAGGTATAGAAGAAAGATATGATACTCAACGAATTCCTATAGTAAGGAGGACCCATCGGGCTACTCTTGCACGCTATAAGGAAAAATGGAAGTGTTACTGGTGCCCGCTCGAGTCACTCGACGATTAATGGGGCGACAGGTGATATGGGTGACAAATGGTCAATATTGTAGTATATTTATGACGTCACACAAAGATTTTGTCATATTGGCTGGTAGATGGTGTAAGAATATCAATAATTATGATTCTGACCCATTCGGGAAGGATTACCTGACAACTTGTTATTAATGGAAAATCAATCACGAACCGACCTATATAAGCGGTGAAGTTAGATTACTTCGTAACGCGCCATTCCACTTCAGTGCATTCACTCGTTGCGATTGTTAAGACCCTACCACGAAAACAAAAGGCAGGGTACATTCAATACAAACTAATGCTCTTCTGAGAAAGACGAAGATTCCGACCACTACAGTGATTAGGAAAGCATTGTGCAAATTCGTCAACAACCCAAAATATTTGCAATATCAAAGAAAGAGTAACGGCAAAAGAGGGGCGTCGGTAGTGCAATTGGTTAGCACGCGCCTTCAAGAAGGGTGAAATGCTGATTCGATTTTCGTCTGATGTTCAAAGTTTTGTATATCACTCAAAATTATGGCACATATAATCATATCATATCTCCTCTAAAAGAGCGTTCAAAAAAGTATAGAACTGATTACAAAATGTTCAGCTGTTAAGAATTTTTTGCATAAGTAAAATTAAGAAATCGGTTTACATCAGAAATTATTATTACTGCTGTTGGCACACATAAAGTCAAAACAGCCCGAGATAAAACCAAATAAAGGGCTTTAATTAGCATAGTGGATGGAATGCGAGATCCCAGTGAGGGTTACTGAAAGCTGGATGTTTACCAAGGGCTCTAAGTTTTGCCTATATCTTAGTATTGTGGTCGTATTTCAAATCTCACCGAGTCATGAAGAAAAATATGTAAATAAAAGTTGAAACATTGAGAATCGTTTGATGAGAATACTACAGTGAGCTCTATGATACTCAAAGACCATAGGCAATCCAACGTTCATTTTTTGGTGGTTGGGCCGGCATATCGAGTAGCGTTGCGTTAGAGGTGCCTTCAATACGCGAAAAGCTTGGTTCGACCTCGTTGCACTCCAGCTAAGTCTGCTATCTCTTCGCAGCGTGAAATCGGCCGCAATATTCTCTGAGAGGAACTTCCTATGATGGTGATTTTTCGGGAGAAACAAAGAAGTCCAATCACAACAATCACATGATTCTAGTCACGAGCATGAACTCCCGCCGAGTCCAACAACATTCAGAATGAAACAAAGTCTTCGAGGACAACTACGTCAACACGTATATCCAAAGACCTTTATAGAAAAAACAATAAAAGCGATTAAGTGAATGTAGTAGTGTGGTTTGCACGTTATCGAATGCTGGATCGTGTAGAAATGAAAAAAGAGGGTAGTTTCATTGTTAACTCTTAACAAACTGATATTTGAAAATTTGCCTCACGCCTCATTTTCGCATATTTTTCACTTTTTCCTAGCTCTATCTTTTTCTCACATTTCTTCGCAAACGTTCCCTAGTTCTTTGTTTTAACCTAAATATTCACTGCGAAAAGTAATAGCTTCTATAGCTTCTTTCTTTTCGAGTTTTGGTGCGCAGAGAGAGTAGATAAATGAGTAATACTTGGCGTAATAAGTGTATTAGTATTTTCTCTACAACCATTCAACTAATGATTCCTTCCTTATTTGGCTTCCTGTGTTTTTTCATGCTTTTTTTTTCTTGGATATCAAAAGAGAGAAAATCGTTCAGTGAGATGAAGTTGAAGCTTTTTTCTGGAAGAGATATTATTCCTTTCCTCTTCCTTTCCATCATTCCCTCATTTTCACGTCAACTTAACTTTACCCTCTTCTATTCGTAATGGACTATCTATAATGCAGAAACAAATTAAGGCGACTTTTTGTGACTTTTCTTTGTTTCTTGTCTTTATTATTGAATTTAGAGAGCAAATGATACAGCTTCAAACTAGAAGCTATTGTTTCTTTCGTTGAAAGTTCTCTCAATGTGGGCAAATAGCGTATATATAAGAGATTTTAGTTATAAAATAGACTAGTAATCTTTGGTTAATTCATTTTTCTTCTATAATCCATTTACACAAAGTATCATTTCAACTCGATCGAATCTTAGCAGTGTTGGAAAAAAGCTATTTTTCACTAATTGCATGTTCATTCTGGAACTAATTGGGGCTCGCTTTATAAAAATAAATGTGAAAATGGAGATATTTATTTTCTTTGTTCTACTTCGAGAATTGAACAACTAGACGATTTTATAAAATTAACAGAACAGTTTAATTAATTCACTAAATATAACATTTCAAAAAACACATCGATAGGAGTAAAAACTGTGTTCTTAAGGAAAAAAATTTCTCAAAAATATTAGTTCAACGATTATAGAGACTTTTGCGGCTCAAAACCGATTTTCCATTGAAGCTATCAGATATATGACTGTATAAGAAGCACTTTTTTCCAGTTTTTCCACATCTACCATCATCTGTTTTCATTTGTCTTCATTTCCATCAAATCTTAATAATTTTCTCTTCAATCAAATCTCTATAAAGTGCTTAGAAGCTTCCGCTCACACTACCGATTTCTCAGCACATTATCATCATCTGCTGTGGATTATGTACTTGAGAGAATCGTGGATGGAGAACGCTCGTCCACTTTGTGTGCATGTTCACCACAATTATCTCAATTTTGGCTACCGCTGTCGTTCACTCAAATTCTTCTGCCATCTCACCGTTGTATTTCAATAAGTGAATGGACATGATCGATGGACAACGTGATCTTTCCAAACTATTAAATGGTGAGCGAAAAGTCAGCTGTTTGAATAAATTATACCATGAAAACCTCGTTCTAGACCCTGTAGGAAAAACAAGGAACTATGAGAACATGTCGAGGCTGCGAGATAGTCGCTTTTGGGGCTTATTTTAACATGTACGAGCAAGGCCACTGCTGTCTTTGTCTAATCCTCATCTCAGAACATGAGTGTGGCCTGATACGAGTGAAGTGTTAGTATGCGGTGGATTGTTCCTGGATTTCGAAAAGAAAAGAAAGATTACAGTCGCCCACCATTGATTACTTCTGTCGCTGTTTCACCATATCGTCCATCTCAGCGACAGCTTATTTCCACCCCCAGTTCAAGGAATCTGGTCGGATTCGAGTGGAATGCTAGCCTGCGGCGTATTATTATTGGATTTGGAAAAGATCGATGCCGCGACGCGGAGCTCCGCCAGCCGCCATGCACCTCTTCGTGATGACGCTGATGTACCAACGACGACGACATTACTGGCTAGAAATTCTAGAGATAGCTAGTTTAAATCCGTCTATCTTATATCACTATCGTCTATGTTCATTCTGTAGGCTGTTCCATTTTTCGCCTGTTAGGCTAGAAAAGGTTTCATAAAAGCTTCATAGATAGAGGTCAATAACAACTATGCTGCTTACATAGTGTCACGTGCGAGTTTAGTTTCGTAATCAGAGGTCCTGAGAGGTTGATCTGTACAACGAAAATGTGGCCCGAAAGATGCAGTAATCATTCCAATTGTTGTTATTCGTTCTTAGTTCGTCAAATCTTCCAGGAGATTCAGAAAGTACTAGTTGATTGAGAATGAACAGCATTAGTGCTTCGTTTGATGAATACGTAATTCTTACATCAGGAAGCCAAAATGACGTCAGAAAACGGCAAAAAATCGTGACTGTTTTCGTGCTCATTCGAAAAAGAGAAATATAGCGAAATGATTTAGCTTATTCATATTCATAGAGATCGATTTTACAACACGATATGGTCATTTGAGAACGAGTCAGTTTCCATTTAATACGTCCTACATGGTTCTCGTGGGTCTCGTGAGTACGTCACATGTTTCATAAGAGTCGTTTTCGTATGCTGTCACCGACTGTTACGAAATCATTGAAGCGTTCGGAATAGCTAATAAGGCTGACGATCATTTAAGATGTATGTGTAAGAATGAATTTCATCTCAGCATTTTGCCTGAACGCATTCTCTTATTCTTATCCTCTCTTTCCTTCCTCAATTCATTTTTGTCGCCGTTTCCTCTTTCACATTGAATGGACGATTTATAATTAATGCTGATCAATTTTCAAAAAGGACTCGCTTTTGTTCACCTTTTTTGTTTGGTTTGAAACGTAGTGTATTGACATATTGGCGACAATACGAACCAAACAAAGCCCATACCTGTTGCTGTACTGTTGTGTTCCATGAAAATAATTTTGATTATATTTCAAACGATCTAGCATCACATATTGTGGGCAAATCTCAGTGTTTCTTGTATTCAATTCACTAATTCGTGTCCATATCCCGTGATGATCTGTGGATTTTTTATTCGAATTCGGCTGTTCTTCAAAGGATTTGGCTTTCTATGTAAAGGTCTTTAGATATTGACCAAACAAGTCCCTGGAATCCATGGATAACTGTGCTACATTGTTTCCAGATTTTTACCGCAGCAATCTGCGAATTTTTCAGCTTTGAAAGAAGGTGAATTATCCAATTATTCCATATCATTCTGACATCAACTCACAAAGCCCGTAAATACGTTTTGGTTAGCGCTGGACAAGATTGAACCAAGGTCTTTGGGATTTGAAAGCGACAGCGACGAATATTTCATATCATTTGTGCTATTTGGCACTTTTTAATGTATTGTAATAACTATACACGATGAATACTGTACGCGTTGTCTCAGCGGTCATCTAGTAAATGAAGTATTTTAGTACTTACATGGCTGTTGTTGATGCTTGCCTCGAAATTTCATCCTGAGGATACTAGAAATTCAAGTTCTCAGGTTGTCAAGTAGAAAAATGTCGACGCGTTGAGTATCGTATGAGAATTTCCCACATTACGAAAATCATGTAGGCTGTTGGTAACTCATAATACAACACTACTCTTTCCCCGGCTTCCGGATTTAATCTTGAACTCTTTCTCGGGTTAAGTAACCATGCGGGGGATCGGCGTGCAGGTCGACGTAGACGGACATAATTTAACTCCGAGTGATCCCTTAGATCACAGCAGTTAACTTTTTGAATGGATGGATTTTATAAAGATAGATCCTAATAAGCACTGACCCTGCTGTTCGCGCTTTTGGCCATTAATTGTGTGGGACGTTTTGCCTTCCATAGTTGCTTAAATTCTCTCGTCGCAGCTTTTTCTAGTGTTTTTCACCATCCGTCTGATTAAGATGTTATTGTGTTTCAAAGATAGAAATTAGAGGCACATATTCAGAAGCCGACTTATCAAAATCTCTACAACAGTAGCCAATATTGTCAAACTGATTATTTTCTTTCCATCTTTCTCGTTGATCTGACATGAGGTTGGCTTGGAGGACGACCGCCTGTGGTTCGTCGACTTAAACCAGTCCAACTCTGAAGAAAATGAAGTAGTTGAAGCGTTAACTGGATAATTATTTTCATAACCTCGTGTAAGCTCAGTGATATAGAATTATAGAGATGAACAGGTATAATTTTGCATGCCAAATAATAGTTTTTATGCCACGCATGTCATGTGGCCTGATAGCATGGGCTGACTTATAGAACCCGATGC